GCTGGTTTTCACCTGGGCTGGCCGCAGCCGCAGGTGTCTGGAACAACGGGGGCGTGGGTGCTAGTTCCTCTCCTGAGCCGCAGCCCCAGCCGCTTGCGCCTGGAACTGTGAGGCGTGCGGCTTATCCATCTCCTGGGCTGCAGCCTTGCTGGTCCCCATTCCTCTCTTGAGACCTCATTTGTGCCTGGCTGGTCCCCATTCCTCTTTCGTGAGCTCATTTGTGCCTGGCTGGTCCCCATTCCTCTCTCCTCAGTGTTGAGTGTGTGAGCTGTTATGGCATGATGGCATGAGGGCATGACAACCATTTGCATATTAGCTCTTTATTATATAGGATATTTAATAAAAAAAGTTCATTTTGGGGGTATGATCAATTTATCTATTTATTTATCTTATTTGCTACTTCACTCTGCATGGATCATTGAGACCTGATTTTATATATGGTTTTAATCTAATTTAACCCTTTGCGGTCGTTTGTCTACTCTCGGCCACCAAAGCTTTTTTGCCATTCTGGTCGTATGTCTGCTCTCAGCCACCACAGCAAGGAACCGTACGAATCTTAACTCTACTCATTCATGTATCAGTTTATAATTTCTCTGAAAGCTCTTAAGTGTCTAAGCGACCTTGTCACGAACCAAAACATTGCCCCGACAAATCGGAGATATCGAAACTCAATATAAACAAACGCGGTCGTTCCACACTCGCCATGCAAAACACCGTGGCGAGTCAGTCGCCTTTTGAGAGTGAAGAAATCGACAAGCTTCGGAGATACTTTGCAGAATTTCAAATAAAGCTTTACAAATTACGTTTAACTGTAATTAGGCATTCTCGCTTGTTAAGGTATTTCAAAATAATACTCCAAAATGGCAAAAAGAAAGTTACCGAAAGAAGTGTACTTCGAATCTGAAAGTAACGATGAAGAGTTTTATTTTGGCACCTTGAATACTGACTCTGACGTAGAAAGTGATAACGTTTGTAGTGATTCTACTAGTAGTGACGTAGTTCCAAAAAAGAATTAATAAATCTTGTTTATCCTTCATAATCTTGCATGTTATGTATCACTGCTCTTTCAATGGAAATTAATTCCGACCAGTATGACACCCATGTCCAAATTTAATACGACTGCAAAGGGTTAACTCAATACTAAGAGTAATGTTCTGTAAATATGAAACAGTTTTCTTCTCATGAAATCAATATCAGGGTTGGAAGGTGCCTATCTCAAGTGTTCTTAAATTCTCTTTGTTATAACTTTGTTCTGGGTTGCTATCTGCTTAGACACTTTAAGTGATGTAAAACTATTTTGGGAGCGGGTAGGGAGTATAGCACAGATTGTTCTTATATTGCACTTAAATGTCTTTCTGAAACTTTTACCCATCCTCCTTTTTTGCCATATAGAATATTAATACTCTTGCTTGTAATGGTTTTAGGATACAACAATTTTTTGGAATATCAATCCTGAATGATAAATATATTAAGCCCTTGGACAGTTAGTCTGTTTAACAAAAATGCTCTTTTAGTGGTAGTATTTATTTAGTAGGTTAAAAGTATATAAAATGATAAATTAATGATTTTAAAAATACTGTGAACCTCTGAAAAATAATGTATTTATACTCACATATATGATCAAGAATTTTCTATAGTTGGCAGAAGTAATTTTATGAAAAGATAGAATGTACCACAAGAATTCAGGCAGGATTCCTATTTGTTCAGGATAGACTATTTTTAAATTTGTGAAGTTTCCATTTAGATCTGTTTGACTTTGTTGATTACTTGCTTAAATAGATTGTAACGTTAAGGCTCTGAGGATGCCTTTCTTAGCCTAGAGTCTTGGTCACAGCTCCTGGGAAGCCCTAGCAATATTTTGGTGAGAGTTTTGGACAAGTAGAATGTGAGTACATCCTCAGAATAAAAGAATGCTAAGATTGATATGAAATTAGGGAAAATATAAAATAGACATTGTTGAAAAAGGAACACACTTTCTGAACCCAACGAGTATGTCCTGTTGACCTCTATTCACTTGAAAAATTAGTTGTTTTTTTGTTTTGTTTAAAATCAACTTTATTGAAGTATCTATATACTAGAGGCCCAGTGCATGAAAGTTGTGCACGGGTAGGGTCCCTAGTGGCTGCTCGCTTCCGGCCAGGGTCTCCTTTCCCTGGCTGCCGGCTGCCGGCTGCTGGCCGGAGCCTTCCTTAATTGCATGCTGCCCACTAGTGATCAGTGCATGTCATAGCAAGCGATTAAACTCCCGGTCGGTCGAACTCCTGAGGGGACACTTTGAATATTAGGCTTTTATATATATACTAGAGGCCTAGTGCACGAAATTTTTGCACTGGTAGGGTTCCTAGCGGCTGCCAGCTGGGTACTCCCTCCCTTGCCTGGCCGCCTGATGCTGCCTGCCGCCACCGCTGCTGCCACTGCTGCTGCTGCTGCTGCCACCACCGGCCGGGGCCTCCCTCCCGTCTCCCGGCCGCCTGCCAGCGCCAGGGCCTCCCTCCCTTACCCGGGCCACCTGCAGCCACCACTGGCCAGGGCCTCCCTCCCTTTCTCCGGCTGCCTGCCAGCGCCACCAGCTGGAGCCTCCCTCCCTTCCCCCGGCCGGCCTGTTCCCTGGTCGAACTCCCAGAGGAACTCCGGTTGAGGGGACAATTTGCCTACTATGCTTTTATTATACAGGATAGCTATAAAAGCGTAATATGCAAATTGACTGGATGGCAGAATGACCGGTCGCTATGATGCGCACTGACCACCAGGGGGAGACGCTCAATGCAGGCGCTGCCCCCAGCCCGCAGACCCCGATTGCCTGATCGGGGCCTGCTGGCCAACCTCTCGGTCTCTTCTCTGGCTGGCAGGCTTCAATTTCCCGTTGGGGAATGGGGAACCGGGGGTGGGTGGCAGCAGACATGGGCGGTGCCAGGCCAAGGCGGGTGCAAGCGAGTGGGCCCCCGATTGCCCTGCCAGTTCTCCCACACACAGAGGGTGACTGGTGGTGGGGAGTGGGGCCAGCCAGCGGCAGGAATGGCCAACCTCTTGGTTCTTCCCCCGGCCGGCAGGCTCTGATTTCCTGATGGGGAACAGGGAACCAGGGTTGGGTGGCGGCAGACGTGAGTGGTGCCAGCCCGAGATGGGTGCGATGAGTGGGATCCCGATCACCTCGCTGGTCACTCCACACACAGAGGGCGACCAGCGTTGGTGGCAGGGGGTTAGGGGTGGCTGCCAGCAGCTGGGGAAGATGGGCCCTGATCGCAGGCCATGCCTAGGGACTCAACCTGTGCACAGATTTTGTGCGCCGGGCCTCTAGTCCTATATAATAAAAGGCTAATATGCAAATCGACATAACGGCAGAATGATTAGTCACTATGATGCGCACTGACCAACAGCGGGCAGATGCTCAACGCAAGAGCTGCCCCTGGTTGTCAGTGCGCTCCCACAGGGGGAGCGCTGCTCAGCCAGAAGCCCTGAGCCAGGGTCAAGGCTGGCGAGTGCAGTGGTGGTGGTGGCAGGAGCCTCTCCCGCCTCTGTGGCAGTGCTAAGCCATCAGTCGGACATCCCCCGAGGTTCTCCCGGACTGTGAGAGGGCGCAGGCTGGGCTGAGGCACCTCCCCCCCGGAGTGCACAGATTTCATGCACTGGGCCTCTAGTGATTTATATAAAATAAAATACACTCATTTTAAGTGTGTTGTTTGATAAATCTATACACTTTTGTAACCACCATTCAAATCAACATAAAGAAATTTCCATTGTAGCAATAAGTTCCTTCATACTTTGCTCTTCTTATCTCTTTACTTGTTGATAGACATTTAGGTTATTTCCAGTTTGGGGTTATTTTGAATAAAGCTGCTATGGACATTTGTGTCCAATTGTTTGGACATATGTTTATGTTTTCATTTCTTTTAGAGTGGGATTTTGAGTCATAGGAGTTTTGTATATTTAACTTTATTAAAAAATCTTCAGTTTTCCTAAGTAATTGTATCACTTTGTACATTCAACAGCAATGTATGAGAGTTCCAGTACTTCACATCCTGTTAACATTTGGAGGTTGGCTAATTGAAAACTGGGTCAGGGTCATTGATAGAAATTGTGTTATGTGTAGACTTTTATAGAAATTATAACAGATACTTGATATACTTTAAAAGTTTAGTAATGATAGCTCATTTCGAACCATTGTACATCTCCTATGTGCCAGAAAGTGTGTTAATGATTTTACATTCATTATAATCTATAATCCTTAAAACAATTCCATAAGATAGAATATATTATCTTTATTTCACAGATAGGAGTTCTGGACTACTAATATTAGGCTTAAGATTTGATTTCAAGTTTGCTTCGAAACCCTAGTTTCTTTACTTAATTTCACTTCAACATTTTGGTCCTTCCCTCTCTTTTATAGAGCTAGAATGAGTATGATTTCAATTAATATCATGGTCTTTTAGGGTTCCCAAATTGAATTGAGGGAGATCCAAAGATAATTATAAGAGTTAGAAGCCCCCAGGGAAAAATAAAGGATTGAAATGTTGTGTGTATGTGTGTTTTCAAACGAAAGAGCATGTATCTCTCAGATGTTAAGTATCTAATATAGATGCCATTTTCCCATGTATTATCTTAATTTGAGTTGTGAAAAGAAGGGGAAAATGTCAAAGCTTCAGAATTACTATGGAGGGAAGATAGGTAGTGGTAATAGTGTGTTTATTATTTCCAAGCTAAGTAGTTGTTCTTGGAATGATCTTGTTTTACCATGTAGGAATCAGCCCATTGCCATTTATTTTTAAATATATTTTAGACAATTACTATTTAATTTTCTATAACTAGAGTTGTGTCACAGCTACTAGATTGAATTTTAGAGCAGAATTTTTATAAGAAAGGTTTGGTCAATATATTTCTCAATATATAGACAACTTGAGTGAAACAGTCCACATTTTGCAGATTTTTCTATTTAACAAAACAATTGTTTAACATTTGGATCCTTTAAATTTCATTTTTCCTTTTCCCATCTCATTTTGCAGACATTTCAACTTACGAATGAAGAGGGACACTTCCCTTTTTAGTGATGAATTTAAAGTAGAAACATCAAATAAAGTACTGGATTATGATACCTCTCATATTTACACTGGACATATTTATGGTAAGTTGAATCTTTAAGAACACTTTCTTTAAATTTTTTCTACACAAAGAAATATTTCAGAAAAGAAGGGATAAATTCTGAGGTGGTTTGAATATATATCATGAAGGGTATATTTGTCTTTGAAGAATGAAGTAATCCTTGGATCTATCATTGCATGGTTGTTTAATGTTGAATTATGCAGTGTCTGGCTTCTGAAAGTTTTGAATTTTTGACTCTCTCAATACCTCCAAACTTAGATTTAAAATTTTTTTTAATGACTTCTATAATTTTTTGATCATCCAAACAAGAAATTAGCAGTAACTTTGCTATGTTTTATAACAAGATGTCTGTAAAGATCATCTTAACCAAAAATAATGTGACAGTCATTGATAGGAAAATCCTCCTAAGGCCTTCCTCTTTACAATGTATTTGCTTTTGTTTACAATTCTAACAAATATCTCTTACTACATACACCAGATTATAAAGGTATTGGAGGGGTGGGGAACACACACATTGTTTTATTTTATTTTTTGACACGCACATTTAACCCAATAGAAAGTTATATTTGACAGCTTAGTAGTTTGGGAAGAACACAATAATTGTAGAAGTCATAAAAAAGCTTAAAAGGTCAGTCTTTTGGAGGTATTAGAGAAGGGCAAAATATCATTGTGTTATAACTCTGTACATTAATAAATACTCAAGGTGGTCCTCAGTTTTTAAAACAAAGTTAACTAAAAGTTAAATTTTAGCCCTAACTGGTTTGGCTCAGTGGATAGAACATCGGCCTGTGGACTGAAGGGTCCCAGGTTCAATTCCGGTCAAGGGCATGTACCTTTGTTGCGGGCACATCCCCAGTGGGGAGTGTGCAGGAGACAACTGATCGATGTTTCTCTCTCATCGATGTTTCTAACTCTCTATTTCTCTCCCTTCCTCTCTGTAAAAAAAATAAAAAATAAAAAAAATCAATAAAATATATTTTAAAAAAATAAATAAAAGTTAAATTTTATTTCTATATATTAGATTTCCAATCAATATTATAACATGAAAAATTAAGTACTTAAAAAAGTGTTTTTTATTTTTTCATTATGCCAGATACATGAGGCATTTCTATGCTTAAAGTTTCTTACTTTTAGAATAAACCTAAACTATTTAATAAAAATATTTTTGTATTCTTACTATTTTTTTAAAGTATTTTTTTTTCAGAGAGGAAAGGAGAGGGAGAGAGAGAAACATCAATGATGGGAATCATTAATAGGCTGCCTCCTGCATGCCCCCTACTCAGGCATGTGCCCCGACTTGATATTGAACTGGCAACCTTTTGGCACAAAGCATGATGCTCAAACAACTGAGCCACATAGGCCAGGGCTAGGTTTTTAATGTTAGAATACAGTTTTCTATTATTTTTATTATTTATCTTTCTGGACAAGTAACTTACAGTCTCTGCTTTTTTTGGCTAAGCAGTGGTCAAGAAAAGTATGACAGCTTACAGATAAAAACCATGCCATTTAAAATACCAGTGTCTTGGGCTCTTTCCTTCAGTTCATGATTATTTCAGAGGTCAACTAATTAATTTTAATCTATAACTTAGAAATTGTAGAAAGCCTGACTTTTGTTTTAATGAGAAAATTTTAAGTAAATTCAACTTTTAAAGCCCCCTCCTTCTACCTTCCATTTCTTCAAATATTTGATGGTTAGTGCTCATCTTTGTGACTATATTAAGAACCAAAAATACCTTTTTTTCTGTTTTGTTCTTTCACTAGGGAAGTATAATTGATGGGACAGAATTATAAATCTTTGTCCAGTATCATAAAAGAAATTGTTGGCATACTTCTGTTCAGATTGCTTTTGAAGTATTTGACACTATCTTATTTAAGAAACATATTTATAAAACCTAAAGGTGGTAAGGAAGCCACATGGCTCATGCAGAATATATCAGATTGGAAAAGAGCTTTTTTCTTATAGTAATTAGAGCCAAATTTCAAAAGGAACTTTAATATCTTTATTTTGAAAGTGTTTATTTTGTCACTGGGTCTATTTAAGTTAATTTAACTATTATTCATTGATTAACTACTACTGTATACATGCCAGGCACTGTGCTAGGTGCTGGGAATTTGTCAATAAGACAGATGTTTTATTTCATTGTTGTTCCTAATAATTGTGTACATTTTAATAAATACTAGTTGCTATTCACATCTCAAACTCAGTTTGATATATTTTCTGTTAAAATTAATTTTCCCAGTGAATTTATATATATGTATATATGAATAACTTTTTAAAGAAAAATGAATTTAACATTCTAGGCAAATTAAATTTTCAAGAGTTTGTTGCTTTCATTAATAGGTGAAGAAGGAAGTTTTAGCCATGGGTCTGTTATTGATGGAAGATTTGAAGGATTCATCCAGACTCATGGTGGAACATTTTATGTTGAGCCAGCAGAGAGATATATTAAAGACCGAACTCTACCTTTTCACTCTGTCATTTATCATGAAGATGATATTAGTAAGTACTTAATTTTTATCAAGTAGCCTTTTGCAAAAAGACATTTAAATAAAGCTATGTGAAGACAAGTGAAGCTTGAGCTGTTTTCTTTCCTTAGCTTATTAATCAGACTAGAAAATAGTTCACAACCAAAGTTTCAATTTAATGAATAACAGATCTATAGTACAGTGATGCAATTTCCTTACCAATCCATGCCAGTCCTACTTTGTTGACATGATGCAATCACTTCTATTTGAACTGTAAGTTAACTGATTTTGATTGAACTGGAAATCCTATATTCTGATACCAGCTAGTCATTTAATGCTATAATGCCTTTGTGTCTGTGTCCTACTCAAGCATCATTAACTTCTTATGTAAATTTCAGTGTGGATATTTGTAGTGATTAAGAAATATTTTAGGTATTTTTAAAAATTTCTTAGTCCTTTGAGTTTTTCTTTTTGGAATCTTAAAATAATGATTTCAGTTTAGTAAGATTCCAGATATATCATTATGGATTTTGTCCTCTACCATGGTCTTTTATATGATGGTGATTTGTTGGGAAAGTTCTTTTTTTGTGTTTTAAGAGTAGAAAATGTATTTAAACATCATCTTTTAATTTCCACCATTGTCTATGAATCCATAGTCATCTAATCATGAGAATACTTTAATGAAATACCACAGAAATTCATTCCTCTGATTATATGCCTCTTGAATAATCATATTTTATTTTTGACTGTAATTAGACTAGTCTCTCAATTTTTGCCGGTTTTTAAAATTTGGCAGCTTCCTTCTAGTTTCATTTTCCTTTGTATAGTCAGGAATTTATTGTCAATAATAATATTCTCATTCCTAGTAATGTATTGGAAAGCCTTAACCATTTTGACTTTTTGTTCCATCAGCTATTCTTGCTTTTTTTCTGATCCTCTATTACTACAGAAAATAGCATAATTATTTTAGATGGGATACATTTATGATTTTAGCTGCTTGCTAAATCTCAAATTTATTAATGCTACTTACCGACATTTTTTTTTAAATTAAATCTTTATTGTTCAGATTATTACAGTTGTTCCTCTTCCCCCCCTCCCCCCATTGCTCCCCTCCACCCGGTTCCCACCCCAACCCTCTGCCCTTTCCTCCCCCAAAACCTCCCGGCCTCATCCATA